AGGGTTAAGTGTGTTAAAACAAAATCATGAAAGTGTACTCTATAAGTAACATTTAAGATTTGAAGTACACTACAAGTGTACAATTCAATAAAATTAAGTGTACTTCTTTTTTCACAACGGTAGTTTTAATTATAAAGATATAATGTTATATTAACTTTATTTTAAGGTATTTGTGTTACAGTGTAATTATGCATTTTAGTACTGTGTAATAATAATAATTAACTACATGTATGTAAGGTAAAAGTTTTCTGTTTTCAGTTGAAAACTGTGCTGTGTAAAATGAATCAATTAAAAATGTATTTAAGCTAGACAATGACTTTCTTCTAGAGCTGCTGTAAAGCCAAAGACAATCTTTGCATTAATTTCCTGTTACCACTGTAAAGCTGCTTTGAAACAATCTGTGTTGTAAAAAAGGGCTATAAATGAAGGTGACTTGACTTAAACATAAAGGTTAGGGTTAGGATTGGGGTTTGGTTTAGGGTAAGTTGCATGTAATTATGCATAATTTATAGTTATTACTACCAACGTGTAACACGTCAAGTCAAGTCACATTCATTTTTATAGCGCAGTATAGAACAGTATTTATATCGTTTTTACCTCTTGTAACCACAGCCACGTCCAACTGATCTGAGGGCGCGGGCGCTTCGGTCTGTGCTTTACAAGAGGTAAAAACGATATTTAATACTGTTCGTTTTCTCACACAAACCGCTCGTTTCGTGTCTCAGACCATCAATGTGTACTTACATTTACGAGTCATTAAATCATGTTTAATTTGGACTTCTCTGTGCATGCTCTTTGAGGTGGTGACCATAGACCTGCATTATATGACTGACAGACAAGAACGGTTTGACCTAAAAATATCAAAATTGAAACTACTGCGGAAACAGACACCTACATCTTGGATGCCCTTGAGGTAATCTAAAACATATCAAAAATTAATTTCAAAGTGAACTATCCCTTTAACTTAGGGGCCGCTAACACGTCATCGTTCTAACAGAAAACACTCAACGCGCTCCGGCCGCTCATTCGCTCAACAACAGTGCCTGGTGGCTCGAGAACGCAAACCTTGAAATACGTTCCAATGTGCAAGCCTTGAAATAATAATAAAAAAGGTTATCTCTGTGCAAACTTCAAAAACGCAAACCTTTGAAAACGCTGAGGAGTGATGGAACACTGTCGAAACGCTTGTGAAAACAAGGACACTGGATATAATGATTGTATTTAATTAAAATGACATCAGATTTTCAATCAAAATGACCAGTCAAATGAAACAGTTGCCCAAACATTTGTAAACATGAATATAAAAATGCTATTAATAGCATTAGTTATTAGAATCCATACATTAACAATATCTTTGCATATAGTTTGAAATACACATAACACATAATCATTTTGTGCATAGATTATCGAATAAATAAACATGGCCAAAGCAACTGCAGACTCTTGTAACATCATTTGATTTAAATTCATGTTACTCTTATATTTCTGATAATACTTTGTGCTGTCTGTAAGATCACACAAGAGATCTCCGTCTATCTGGATACATCACAACGGGAGGAACACCATACTGACATATTCCCACATCTATAATCAACACCACAAGAACAGCTGAACCATCAACCAGAGCTGCTCATCTTCTGGGTTTGACCATATTCTAGACTATTTACTGGAAATGCATGAGTGTTTAAAATGCTGGCCAAAAATATTCTACCGACCATCACATACAACAAAGAAAAACACATATACACTGCAATGCCATAGAATATAGTATAAATGCATATAAAAACATACATTTGTACAGTAGGATTTCTATTAAGATTTACAGAAGGATATAGATATATTTTTAATGAGAGGACATTTTTTTCATTCAATGGTTCCATGCAGTAACACAATAAAACGTGAAAATGGGAGTTGAATTGTATTGGCACCTTATATATCATTTTGTTAAATATATGTCATAAATGTTTCCATTTTATTACACACTGATCACACACACATATATGTGTGTGTTTGTAAAATGTAGAATGCAGACAAGAAAATATACATAGATCAGGAACATAATGTATCTAGCCTACGTAAGGTTAAACAAAGCAAAAATGACTCCGGTTATTCAGCAAAGCTTTAGTCCCAGTGACTTGAATCATGACCTGTGACATTTTCTGTGGTACACAGAATCTGACAGACCTATACAAGGATAGTTCACCCAAAAATAAAGTTCTGTCATCATTTCCTCACATCCTCATATCCAAACCGACATGCAAGGCAGAATGTCTAAGCTACGAAAAGGCATCTTAAAAATACCCTAAAGTGCTCCATACAACGCATGCCCTTTAAGTATTCTGAAACCATGCCATTGTCATGAACTGCATTTTTGTTTTACATTTTAGGTTTCCTGAGGTGCATTTATAATGTTATTTTTACATTAAAAACTATTATAATTTAGAAATTATAAGGGCATTTTCTACTGATTGCAGCAATATGATTTGAACGCTCTGTTTAAAGGGCCATGTCTCCCTTAAATCTTTAATGTAACAAACAATGGTAACACTTTAAAATTAAAGTTCAATTTGTTCACTACATTACAGTGAACTAACAATGAAAAAAAAAAATTCTAAAGCATTTCTTGATCTTTGTTTATGCTAATTTCAGCATTTACTCATTTATTATTTAAATTAAAAGTTGTGTCTGTTATTATTAATTAGTGTACCTAGAGTTACCATAAACTAACAATAAACAGTTGTACTTTTTTATTTACTAACATTAACAAAGATTAATAAATAGTCTAACAAATGTATTGCTCATTGTCTGTTAATACTACTTAGTGATTTAACTAATGTTAACTATTGAAACATTACTGTAAAAAGTGTTAGCGGAATAAGTATTGCATATGGAACTCTTTAGAAAACTTTCACTACATTTTTAGTATTGCTGCTGTTAGGGTCACATGACTTAATTTGGGGGGAACATTTTAAAATATGATTTTAAAAAAAATCATGTTTTCTTTGCTTTTTTCTTAGGGATGCACAATTTGGCCAAAATATTGTGATTATAAAATAATAATGATAATGATATGTTATAAGTAATTCATTCAAATTAGTATTAAGTAAAACAACTAAATAAATCAAAACAAGAAATATTTTATTTCACTGTAAATTTAAAATGAGTTGGGAGTGTGGGGTAAGATGAGCCAATGGGTAAGTTGACCCACCATCTTGGCAACCGGTACATTTTCATTGTCATGTGACCATATATTTTGGAACCACCCATCATTTCTGCCGGACTGTGAAAAGGAGACACACACTGGAGCAGTGGAAGGCACCCATTTACTTTAAAAACTCTTTTTGGCTTGTCAAAGTAAAATTTTAGCATAACAGATGTAATGGCTGTTACATCAAAGCATATTTGTCCAGGTCTAAAAATATGTATGATCCATATTGGTGATTTAGCAACTATGCAAATCATTTAGCTTAATATTAGTCTGAATTGGTAAGCTAGTTTTGTCCAAAATAGCCGCTAGTGGGCAAAGTGAGCCAAACGTTGTGGGGTAAATTGAGCCAGCGTTTTAACTTATCCTACCATAAGGCACATTAGTTAAATCTCTGAAGTATAAAATGGTATAATTTCAATGTAATATTACACAAATGGCTTAGTTTATCCTTTAAAAAAAACATTAGTTTGAGCTTATTTGATAGGAACAATGTAAGTACACCATGTCCTTCTCTGATAAGAACCAGAAGATGCTTTTTCATATATATCTTTCCACCTGTAGTCCCTAATGGCCTAACATTGCAGAAAAACTACCATACCAAGAACCTTTTGACTAAAATGTTTATTAGTTTCAGTGACATTTATTCATTCATTCTATATTTCATTCATTCTTAGTCTGTTTTTTTGAGAAGGTTACAACTTTGATGTTCAACATATTGTTTCAGAAATGCAAACAATTACAGATATTGAAATTTCAACTTCATTTGGTTGGTTTTAGGTTGTTTAAGTTAGCTTTAAGAAAAGAAATATGACTATTTGTAAAAGGAAATTTGATCATTAACTTAGTTTTTAAAAGGTAAATGATCGTTAAAATTTCACATGGGTTTGATTCAGTTTTAGTTAGGTGGTCAGTTTACACCCAGATGGTGCAACTTACCCCCAACCAGGGGAAAATTGAGCCACAGGAACACTTTTTAATAAGAAGTCATATTTTTAGAACCCTTTGTTCAAGAAAACATCCTACATTTTTTTAGATACTTTCATTGTACTTCGGCCTAATTTTCTCTTATCTTGAGGACCACATAAGAAAAAAAAAAAGGCTCATCTTTCCCCACTCTCCCCTATTTAAGAAAAATAATATAACTATTTTACATTACAACTGTAAAATTACAACTGTCTTAATTTCTTCATTTTCAAACGTTAAATCATCAAACTTTCATTTTGATGGAAAACCGTAGGGCGTCCTTAAAGCTTCTCTTTTGTTGATAAGTGCTTCTTATTACAAGTTTGGAAAGATGGTTGGCGCATGTTGGGTCCACAAATGCACGTTAAAGCGACCCAAACTGAGAGCAGAGCAGAGATGAGTATCTTATTGTGAAAAGTGTTGATTACAGCATTATATTCATATCTACTCCCATTGCATACATGTTGCAGGGATGAGCATTGCAGTCTAATGCGTAAAAAGCGCAACTAGATTTCTGCACTTTCCCTGATGCTTTCATCATAACTAACACAGTGGACACACGATGTAAATAATCCTGTTTTATTATTTCTCCTGCCTGCATATCAAACACACCAGAGGGTGATGAAGATGTAGGTGTCTATGCAGGCAGTCTATGCGTGTCATTTTTTCCCCAAGCCCCTGTTCATTTCCGACACTTCTAGACAATACCAAATGCTACTGTGTAAAAAGAGCAAAACTGAACATTCTGCCAAACATGCAGGTTTGGAATGACATATATTAGGTATGTAAAAATGAAGAAAGAATTGTCATTTTTGGCTGAACTTTATCTTTAACACTTAGTGTCCATGGATGTTCTTGAGCTGTCTACCGGCTGAGCTTTCTTGGGACTTCGAGAATGCTTTCTGTTATTTCTTTGAGAGATACTCTTCCAGGTCGTCATGGGAACGCTGGGAACCTCCTTCTTTTTTGATACTAGCTCTGACTGAACCACTCCCCGGATTTGCTCCTTGTCTTCATCGGAGGAAGTGTTACTCTTAGAGCTCATCTCCACCGTAGGCTCCGTGAACACTATCAGCTGATTTTTACGATGAGGAACTTCAACTGTAGGACCCCCATCTGCCCCTTTCTCCTTTGTCAGTACAGTGACAGTCATTTGGGCCACACTGTGGTGCAGAGAAGCGCTTCGGAGGAGCATGTTGGAGCGTGGCTGCACCATCTGGATCCCGCCTATAGGAATCGTGAGGCTGAGATTGGGAATCATCACCTGGGGCTGGGAATGCAGGGGCAGGTGACTTAACACACGCTGGCCTTCTTTCGGCTGCATGTTCCTGGAGAGACGTCCATGTGGCAGAGGCCAAGACTGTGTCATGTTGGTCCTTCTCTTAGGACTGTGTGTTTTCTCCTTGAGGGGAGCCAGAAAGACATTTTTTTAGTGAAATCACCAAGTGGTCTGTTGGATATTGTAGAGTGACCACTAGTGCAGTCATCTTTATTCTAGGCAAAAGGACGTTATTTCTAAACAGTGTGGTTAATCTTTTTTTTGCAGCTACGGTCTTGACAGCTAAAGATAGTCTTGGTTCTTCCCAAATCTTCACTTCATACAGTAGATGGTAAACAGATGAGTATGCATTCATCATTTCATGGGTTACTATCTAAGGTTTTGGCTTTAATTGTATGTAAAGACCGGTGGCTTGACTTCTATTTGTAATAAAGGTGCGACACAAAAATAACACAGTGTGCTTTTAGAATCAGGGTATTTGTTTTTGGATGTTTATCTTGGATATATTTGGGTGTCTTGTTTTCAGATTTTTTGCGCACTAATAAAAAAAAAACGTTCTATAAGTGGAGTAAAACAAACTTAGACAAAGAAAGAAGCATGTACATATTTAGCTATCAAGACTAAAACCCCACAATTTACTCACTATTGAAACAAGGATAAATGGTTGTTAAAAGAGAGCATGGATCATTCGAAGAAACTATGTATTTTCTGAGAAAACTACAAATATAGAAATAAAAGCTCATTCAAAAACATAAAGACTTTAATCAATTAAATTTTATAAATTAAACAAAAACACTTGCTGAAAAAATTATAATTTGGACCAACTGTATTTGTTACAGCCACAATTATTAGTTTTTCTAAAATGTTTTCTCTGTTTAAACTTCAAATTTGGATTTAATATTAATCAAAAATATTTATTATTTTTGATCAGGCCAATATAAAAATGCACTAAATAAATGACACTTTCTCTTGTATGAATGTCAATTTCTCTTTCAGTCTTTTATCAGCATTATGGTCACTTGTTACTTCTTACATTCAGTCAGAAAGATCTACATAAAGACACTTACTGGTTTGGTCTTGAGATTTAATCTGTTGGGTGAGGCTTTTGTAGAATCTCTGGGTCTATCAGCTTGGTACTGAACAGTCACACTGGCCCCAACAGTCAATGCAAGTGGACAACTGTGAGACGAAGGCTGTATGGGGGACGAGGCTCTAATGGGGGACGCGTGTCTCTCTGGGAACGATGAGGCTGGGTGTTCAAAAGGAGACAAAGAGGAAAGGCAAGATGATGGAAAGAGACTATGTCTCGGAGAGGGACAACGTAGAGGGGACATGTCACGCTGAGGAGACTGCGGTAAAGCAGGGGACATTTGCAGGCCAGGAGACAGGCTGCGGATGGGGGACGAGCATTTCCCTGTGGTGGGTTCGAGGTGTCGAAGGGTTACTATAGACTTTGTGGTCTTCGGAGAGGCAGCTTCTCCATAGTGGCTTGGTTTTCGGGGGCTCATACTGACAGGCGGATTGGGATGTTGTTCCCAGCCTGGGTTTGAAAAGCCTGAGATGTCACAGGAGCCAGAATTATCCCTGGAGAGAGATGTACTCTTAGACGATGAAGAGGAGCATGATGCTTGCCCGTCACCCTCATCATTATCATCAGCCTCGTCCACATCTGTCTCCTCTGCATCTGAGAACTGGTGCTCCTCCACCAGATCCGTCTCAAGGAAACGGTTATCACTGTCACCTACAGCACAAGAGTCACTGTATCAGCTTACATTTAGTACGATTAATTATGCTAAAAAAAAGACAAATACATTTAACCAATTCAATCACTAACTAAGTAACCATACTTAATCCAAATGCCACAGTAATTGATAGTAAATGCATAATTTATTTCCAAATAATCAGAATAAGCGATGTATCATATAATTTGCTTTGATCATTTTTTAAGTCAAATTGACAGACAAAGTTTTAATGCTTTCAACAAACAGAACTACAAAAAGAAGTTATTGAGAAACTAATACTTCAGACAGAACTTGTCTGAATTTATATAAATTATACATGTACATGGCTGCTGAAAATTCAGCTTTGCCATAACAGATATAAATTACATTAAAAAAAACCCCCAAAAAAACAGTTATTTTATATTGTAATAATATTACTGTTTTAGTGTATTTGTGATTAAATAAATGTAGCCTTGGTGAGCAAGAAGAAGATACTTTGTTCAAAAACAAGTTTCTCACCTCCCTCATCTGTCTCAAGCTCACACTGAACTGGTCCTGGAGCAGTTCCCTCTGGACACCTCTTCCCATGAGCCTTTGACTTCATATGTTTGGTTAAATTCCCTGAAGAAAACAGTATGACAGCTTCAACATGGGAATGGAAAAAAAAAGAAACTTATTTATATCAAGTTCTTCCCTGTGAGAGTACAGGTGTAGACTTTGTCCATGTAAACAACCTCCGATGTCATCGAACTAGTGACAACATCTATTATAAACCTCTATTTTTATTGTGTTGGCAATATTTTTACTACAAGACAGGGCGCATATTGATGGTCTTATCCTTATCGTAAATTAGTTTAAAGGGGTGATGAACTGAGAAATCAAATTTTCCTTGAGCTTTTGACATCTAAGAGGTCATCAAATTATAAGAATAGACTGTAAGTTTCAGAACTGAAAACGTCCTTGTTAGTCCAATAAAAGCTTTTATTGACACCAGGCTCAGCAAACGACTCGTTTTTCAAAGTGGGGAACTATGATGACAAAGAGGATAAAACACCACCCCCGCAGAAGAAGATCAACGCCTACTTCAACACGGCCGGTTTAGCCCCGCCCACCGATTCGCGCATTACACAAAACTCATTATAATAAACTGTTATCCACTCAAAGCAGTGGGCGTTTACTTCCAAGTCTTCAATGCGAGACGCCCATAAAAACTGAGCGTTTTTGAGCTAGGCTCAAAACTAGGGTAGAAAATAGCCTATTACTTATTCATTTTGATGTTTTTGAATGTAAAAACCAAGCGAACGTCATAAGTTGACCTCAGACAACAATATAAAACAATTTAAAAAGCCAGTTCATGACCCCTTTAAATTTGCTTCTTGCTATTGCTAGTCAGGGGCAGGTGGAGTTAGGGAGAGTGGCAATATTATTCCACAGTACATTTTATTTGACCAAATATTTGCATTTGCCCTTGAGTAGGAGATGATGTATTTTGGACTGTATTTTTTAAATGTGTATATCTGCTAAAAGTTAATATTGTTTTTTAGCTGTACACTAGCGTATAGTAGATGGGCTCAAAGTTAATATTAAATGTATATTTTACTTTATCAATAATATTAATATAATATGGACAGACATGAACTAAAAGCCACAAATCTCCATTCATCCGTTGTGCAGCATACCTTTGGTTTTGAAGGCAAAGTTACAGTGCTGGCAGACGTAAGGCCGATCGTCCGTGTGTAGTCGAATGTGTTTGCGCAGCATGCTGGGTTTCTTACAGCGTATTCCACACTCTTCACATACATATCGTCCTCTCCCCCGGCCACGTACATACACGTATTCCTCACTTGACCTGTATCTGGAAAACACAACAAAAAAGCTGAAAGAATATGTTGTGTGAACATTCACTGGGCTTTGCCAATGACCAGGAGTCACTGACAGATAACAGACTGACCCTTATAAGTTGAACTACTAAAGGGAAAGACTATAGATAACCCGAAAATGTTGGAAAGAAATATTGCAGAATGTCGAGAGTGCTATTTATCATAATGGGAATTGTGGCTTTCAAACTCTAAAGGTAACAAAACAAGCACCAGAGAAATATCATAAAATAAGTGAGAATAAGTCATTCTCATTCACGGTTCCATGCTGGTGGAATGATCTCCCCACCCTCATCCGGAATGCAGAATCCCTGACAACATTCAAAAGACAACTGAAAACTCATCTCTTCCGGGAGCACTTAACATAAAAAAAAAAAAAAAAAAAATCCTTTCCTCTAAATCCTCGCTTGCCTGGCTTATGCTACTCCGAGCTATGTCTGAACTTTGTATTTTGAGCACTTCTTGCGTTGCTTTTGCCTCTTCACGATGACTCGCTTGGTTTAGTCCTCAGTTGTAAGTCGCTTTGGATAAAAGCGTCTGCTAAATGACTAAATGTAAATGTAAATGTAAGTGATGAACCAAATGGAAACTTCATGGCCAAAGCTTAAAAAATCTGGACACACTGGTTTAAAAAACAAAACACAAATTCTGAATTACATATATGTTCAGAATAACTGAAGTTCTATTCATTAAAAAATCATCATCATTACATCACATATCTTGTGACATCAATATACTGTATAATCACTGATGACAACCATGTGCTTAATTAGCAAATCAAACACATAATTAAATTAGCGAATAATTCACTCCAATTCTTTTTCAAAACAAAGCTTTCATATGGATTCAGAAGACGCCGTATGGATTACTTTTGACATTTCTGGAGCTTGACAGTTCTCATTATAAAAAAAAATAAAAAAAAAGCACCCTGGAGCCCTTCTGAACCCTTGTGAAAAAGAAGTACTTATTATGAAAATTAAATACTGTAAAATACTACACACAAGTACAAACTGAATGTAATGTTTCCTGGCACTTAATTGCATGATAATTGTAATTTAATGAAATATATTATAGTTTAAATGTATATGTACTTATAAGCAGTTGTAAGCAGGACTTAAGTACATGTTTAAATACAAGTTCATAACTAATTATATTGTCTTGGTTAAAAGGTTCTGCTGATTGTATTGCAATTAAATTGACTATTAAAAAGTACACTTACGTAAGTACTTAGTGTGTTAAGAAACATACTCATGAAAGTGCACTTAATTATATTATATTATATATATATTTAAATTAACTTTTGCAAAATTGGACGTACACTACAGTTGCACATAATTAAGTACACTTCTTTTTCACACGGGAATACATCTCATTTGGGTTTGGACAAACATGAGGGTGATTAAATAAAGACTTTGCCTGAACAAACCCTTCAACTGGCTGAAATGCGTGCAGCAAAAAGGAGAATCATATCAGACTAGCACTATTTTGTCAATGTTTAATAAGTTAAACAAACAGAATGGAACAGAAAAGTAGCACATGAAGGTTGACATTGACACTGCAAGTTCTCAACATCACCTTTAGGTTAATTAAAATACCAGCAAAGCCTCTGGGCTGGAATATGGAGGCATAAAGAGGCCTTTACATTGATCTCACAGGTCTGTGTGGGAGATCTGATCTCCAATCTATAGCACCTGCATGGCATGCTTTTAAAGGTGCTCTAAAACAACTTGGTATGCTTGGCACAGACCCTCTTTCAGACACCACGCATGCATATATATCCATACACACCCCCTCCGCCTACCCACAGACACACACACACACATACACACATGGGTAGTCTGGCTGGGTATCCACCCTGTTTGTGTCCAGAAAGTCCCAAAACGGGGCCTCCACTTGACCTCAAACAGAGCTCCATTTATAATGTCAAGAACTAGGGCCCCCCTCCCTTCGACCCCCATCACCACCACCCCGGCTCAAACATGGGGATCTTGCAATGCCGCTCTGTGCCCAGAGCCCGGGCTTCTGTGCCAATGCAAACAGCTAAGAGGGGGGAACCCTGGACCCAACCAGCAGCTCATAAACCAATAACATGAGTACAAATCAAGAACTGTGTTGCCAGCTTTCTTAAAAATAACAGCATAATAGAGATTTTTTTTGGGCGGTTTAGTTTTTTAGATTTAGGCTGTGCAGCTATTTAGGTTGTGATGCGATATATTCACAGTAACAGACTACCATTCACCACAAAGTAAAGATAGAATTAATATGATCCAATAAATAACCAATGTCATTCTAAACATACCGGAATTCCAAAATTGTAAATTAATGTGGGTCCAAAAGGCACTGCATTATTAGATTATTTGATGGAAATTTGATTTTTCAGTCTCATTCATGTCTGTAGCATGGTGTGGGATGAGTTATGTACTGACGTTTAATAAATAAATCTAAGTATGAGCAATATTGACAACTTATTATTGAAAGGTAAGACATGGCCTGAAGAAAGGGCATCAATCATGACACATAAAGATGTGAAAATTCATGACATATGCATTATGTGAGGATGAACTGTGCAGAAACCGCATAATTACCATTCACCTGAAATGCAGGCTCAATCCATTTCCCAAACTTTCACGCAAAATCACTCCCCTCATACATCAACTAAAACCTCAGAGCTTCCATTTTAAGATGCACAAACCACCTTAATCACCTTCAGTGTTCTCATTCTGAAGAGACAGAAATGTCTCCTAAACTAAAGACCATACTTGGATGGAGAAACAGCACAGACAAATTATGAGTAAATTTCATGGCTGCTGTGAAGATTATTCTGTGTTAAAATGCTATAATTCTTCAGAAGCACCACAGGTGGTTGTTTTTAGGAAGACTTGTGTCTGTAAACTGATCTCAGTCACGACAGACTACATAACCTTGAAGAATTACATTTCTTTCAGTTCAATTTCTTTCTATCAGTTTGTCTGACTTCTTTTGTAGTTAACATAAGGCTTGAAGCCAGACTGATTTATAGCTTTAATCCATAGCACAGATTTATTTATCTTTATTATATAGACCTCTCTCTTTTATTAAAAATAACCACTCACTCTAATGAGCATCTCTTAGATCTCAAAAGACGGCCGAGTTAACAAGTGTTTGTGTGAGGGGGTTAAGAGGTACATGAAACTCAAGTTTAAACAGGTACAAATTCACGAGTTCACACTTACAAATAACCAGATAGAGTAAAAAGCAGCCCAGCAGCAAGGAAACGGTACTAACACCCCAACAAATATTGCAAAGTACAAGGCTGATAGTGCAGTGTTTGCAGGGAGTAGGTTGGCCACTGGACCGGGAGGGCTCTCGCAGCTTCCGATGGGAGTTCAATACTCACAGCATCGGATGGGTTAGCCCTGCCGGCAGCTGAATGAAGATGGAGCTTAGCTGCTCGACCGGGAGGCTTTCACAGCATCCGCCGGGAGTTCAATACTCACGGCGATCAGATGGGTATGCTCCAGCTGGCATATGGGCGGAAAATAGATTTCGACCGTGGAGGGCTCTCATGACGTCTGACGGGAGCGCAATACTCACAGCGGCAGACGGGTAAGCCCACGCCAGCAGGCGAACGAGAATGGAACTTAAGCCGTTTTGCCCGGGAGGGCTCTCACAGCATCTGTAACCGGGAGCTCAATACTCACAGCGATCTAATGGGTAAGCCCCAGCCGGAAGACGGGCAGGAAATAGATTTTGACTGGGGAGGGTTCTCATGGCATCTGACGGGAGCACATTGCTCATGGCATCAGATGGGTAAGCCCCGCCAACAGTCGATCGGTTAAAGGCTTGGTCGTTTGACCTGGAGGGCTCTCGCAGCATCTGACTGGAGTTCAATATTTGCGGCAATCGGACGGGTAAGCCCTCGATGGCAGTTAAGCGCAATTAAAGATAGGCAATTAAACAGGGATGGTTGCGTATAGGGGTGAGCTTCTGCTAAAGTCGGGGGATAACGCTGCTCTGGTGGGGAGAAAGGGGTTAAATGTAGAGGCAGGGCTCTTGAAAGCCTATGATGACCAATGACTGAGTGCTTGAATCTGTTGCTGGGAGAGGCCTTTTTGAGCAGCTGTGGTTACGGAATCTATGTGAAAAGAGTGACTTGAAAAGTGCTCTGCTAAGAGTAATTTGAGGTGTTTTTCTCAAATCTGTGAAAAGTGGGTCAGAAGGGAATTTAACCTGTGAGTTTCTAAAATGTAAGTAACATAGAGGGGTTTGGTACGGTTGTATAGGTGATGGGAGATTGAAAATGTAAATGAAATGGCCTTTTTTCGTCTGATCTGTAGTACTTTTTTTGATGAAGTTAGAGATTGTTTCGTTATCTAAGATTGATAAATCTGAAATAGTGGGTTGGATACGGTATTAATGGAATGGTAGCCTAGGCGGAGGGTGGAAATGCATTTGGTGAGTATGTCTAAAGTTAAAGGTTGTCTGGCGTCTGGATGTTTTTTTTAAATGCCTTTGATAAGCAGGCAAGTCTGTGAGTTGATTATTTTGGAGGAGGGTGAGCCGAAAATTAGTTTATGGAAAAATTGGATTCCACTTTAATGTAGCCTTTAATGAAACCTATTTGAAGGCTCTTGACTGTGTTAAGATTGGAGATATATACGACGTAATAGTGAGAAGAGAGATAGTCTGGGAAGAGCAGGTTGAATGTGAGTGGAAAAGTTTTAAAATATATCTATCCTGTTAGGTAAGATTAGAGGGTTCTATGAGAAAAGGCTTGAAATATGGAGTTAAGAGAAGAGTCAAGCAATGGCCTCAAATGGTGATTTATGAGAAGATTAACTCTGAATATTGAGGTACTGGGGTAAAAAATAGTTTTTTGAGGTAAAAAATTTATATTTTTCTAGCCAAATAAATGGCACAAATCCGGGTGGATGGGTATCACTTTAAATGCAGAAGTGATGTCCACTTTGCAAGCCAAGCTCCGGGACCAGCGTTTTTT